GTTTTCATTTCAGTTTAAATAATTAAGATTGTTCAACTTAGAACATTGCACTTGATTTACCTAGACATGTTCTACAGATATAAATTTAAAACAATATGAAAAATTAAAACGCATTTATTTGCTTTATCTCATAAGAAAAAAGTCTAAGGAAATAATAAATATAATTTTATACATATACTGTGTTCACTAAATATATATGAAAAAACCAAACAAATAACAACATATTACACACACAATCGTAAATATTAATTTTATTTTACCTATAATAAATATCAATTATAAATCATAGATTAATCTTGCATTTAAAATATATTTTATTGAATAATATATGTCGTTTTTTTCCTTGCAATACACAATAAAATATAATGGGGCGAGTTGTCTCTACAGTGGGGGCGAGCTGTCCTGAGCGGGGGCGAGTTGTCCTAAATTGGGGACGAGTTGTCTTAACAGGTGTTGGGGGCGAGTTGTCTTGGGGGCGAGTTGTCCTGATTCCGCAATATAACCCTGGTATCACAATCAGTGTTGATGAGCCATGAAAAGATTAACAAATTCAATGCAGGGGTGTGCAATTAGAAAAATTTATTACTAGCCCACGGGCTAGTGGCAGCTATAAAGTTACTAGCCCAAAGTAAAAAGTTACTAGCCCAAATATAGGGGCAAAAATTTAAATAAAATGATATAAATTGTTGAAAAAGTCAGGGTACTGAGTTAATTCTTTTTAAAATTAATGTATAATTCTCACTATTAAATTTAAAAATCATGTTTAGATTATCATGAAAGAAAATTAAAACGAATTTAAATAAATTATCTTCCCTCTTTCTGATCATTGCACTAGCAGCAGCTCATTTAGAATGAAATTAAATTCATTTTGTTTTCATGTTTAATCATAAAATACACTAGAAATATATTTTATGTGTGTCACAAAACACTTATTTTTCAGTTGATTGAGTGATTGGAAATATTTTATTGAGATATCTGTATGTATTTACTATAAACAGAGATTAACAAATTCAATGCCTTTTATTTTGAAATACATCATTAAATATACACTGTCTATTCTAAAATTTATTCGGACTGATAGAATATGCTTAGGACTGGTAGAAGGCATTAAGTCGTCAGTCCGAATGACTGATAGAAATATTTGGTTTTCGGAAACTCTGCATCTCATGACTAATACTAAACATGTACAAATGTTACAGTCTACAGTATGTTCAGGTTTTCAAAACAAGATAAACTTTAAACAGTGTAATTGTTAATGTCATTCATGATAAAGAAATAAACACTTATCATAGATATTAAAAATTGATCTTTTAATTAATTATTCTCAACTGTAAATCAGATAATAGGTAAACAAGGCCACCGCTAAGCGGAGCATCCCCTCGCGACAGGAACTTCACTGGTAATGGCAATATCTCATAAGAGATAAATTCTCTCGAGGGACATTCTTCTTCTGTTTAACAACAAAACTTCAGAGTACTGGAGATTACTTGTTGGTGTTGGTGTAAACATGTTAAAGATTGATAGGACAATGTATTTTGTTTAATGTCCCTCTCAGGAATTTTTTGCTCATATGAAAGCTTGCCGGTGGGGAGCTGCACATTCTTTCCTATAACAGGAACTGACAACCATTGAAAAGTGAGGGATCTTTTTGTGCCAGCATCTATTGGGACATGGGCCCTTGGTTTACACGGTCTCATTCAAAGGACCAGTGACTTAGTCTCCACGTCCCACAATGGGATTCAAACCCGCAACATTAGGATCTACTCCCTTACTTTTGACAAAATTATTAGTGAGGTGTTGTTGTTCATCATTTTTTTTTTTACAAAATGCAACGTGCATAGCATCTTGGTTAAAGGGGTGGGGGCATAATATGGATACCTAATTTGGGGTAGTAAAGTTTAATTTTAAAAGATATTACATTGTTTTTCTGCACAGTTTTTTAAAACAAAGTTATCGGGGGAGGGGGATGTCTATATTTAACCAAAATCAAATTGCATAGTATTTTTGGGGGGAGGGGGGCAAAATATGCATACGTAATTGGGCAGTTTTCCTTATACCTAGCAGAAACATATCACGTATGCTATATGTATAAGTTTCAGCAATTTTAATTATTTACCTACCTAAGTACATGTATATCTCACAGTTCCAGGTAATATGCATTTTTTTCGTAATGAAAAATAAAAATGTATATATATGTATGTACATCAAGAGGTTAATTTGTACTTGAGGACTGTATTTACAGCTTTCAGGAATAACGTGCACCCCAAATTCCGAGACACCTGTTGGAATTTGGTAATGAAACAGCGGCATTCACCAAATTCTCTTAATCCGGTTCCCGCAGACTCGACACGCCTTTTAAACTTTAAAACTGGCTCTTAAACTGGTTCCCTAGCGGAAATGATTATTGTCAACTTGTACATAAATGTCAGGGTTTCGAGACAGTGAAAACGCGATATCTGAAGAAATATTTCAACAATGAACTTGAAAATGAATAGGCTTCATCTTTTTATACTGCCACACAAGTATGTAAACGCTGAGAATGGTTAATGCAAAGGTTTTCTGTCAATCTTGCCCACAAGGTGTAACAAACACACTAACATACTAACACACTAACATACACACATATGCACATTCGCGATGCTATATCCCCTCCACAACTACTTGCGCGAGGGGATAATTAAAATAAAACGCATAGCCATTAGCCAAATTTCCAAAGATTTTGTTCATTTCATTCAGATTTCCAAACTTGTCCATGTTTTTTTCCCCCAGAAGTTTGATCCTGTCCTGTTTTTTATACATGAGAGAGAGAAAAGAAAGACACAACAGAGAGAGAGAGAGAACAGAGAGAGAGAGAGAGAGTAGAGATCAACAGAGAGAGAGAGAAGAAAGACACTAAAAGAGAGAGAGACACCAACACATTACGTACCTATCCCAGGAGACACCACCCTCTCGTAGTGGTAAGGATTGACACACACGCTGTCCTGTTTATAAACATGAGACAGAGAGTGAAGTACGTACCTATCCCCGGGGACACCACCCTCTCGTAGTGGTAAGGATTGACACACACGCTGTCCTGTTTGAGGTCGAAGGCGTAGTGACAGAACTTGCAGTGCTTCAGTTCATTCTTGTGGAGGTCTGGCCATCTCCAGATCCGCGCGTAAATCACGTGAGGGAAACCCTTACGTCCTGCGACCTGAAAAACATAACACAGTATCGTACAACTCTTTATTTCATCCAGTATTCATTAATTCTCCCGAAGGCGTTTATGCATAAATTTATCATGAAGCCAATCGATTAATCATCGTTATGAAACCAAGAAGTCTTACAGTTATTCCTTATTGCTTATCATGACTAAGGAAAACGTTCCTGCTTTTAATTCACCCAGTGTTCATTAAGAATCTTTACCCGATATCATTAGCCTTCAGGAGGCTGGGGGGGACAAATTAACCACCAGATTTAACTTATTTTTTAGATACGGTATCCTAAGCTTTCAACTATCATTTGGAAAAGAAAAAAAATCAAACATTTTAGTTTTAAAATTTTATCATTTTTGTATATCTTTACATGGAGCTCTTCGTTTATAGGAGATGGAAATAGTCTGAAAATGACTGCCACCCCCAGCCTCTTTAAATAAACTGGCTACTCACAATAAAGAAGGACAGGGATTAAATCCTGTAAAACAAACTTTTATTCATGACTATCTTTATTCATATGATTTTTAAGTTTGAAATCCAGTGGTAAAAAATAAAGTTGTTTTCCAGATATCCAATACAATAATTATCAACTGTTAATTATAAAGTGACCCATTTTGTGGAGTCGACATTTCTAAATGCTTAGGTGCTGATGAACTTGTCACGAAATTCATAACTTATAAATTAATCTGTTTGTAAATACTTTTGTGAGTGGGTGCTCTTAATTATGACCTGAATAAAACCTTTCCAGCATGCACCATACAGAGTAAGTGACGCACTTTGTGAAGTGAGGACCACTTATGACCTAATTATTAATACCTGTAGTTTTCTGACTAGTGTATGCTGTATGGTCATACACTTGGTGGAGGGGGGGGGGATAGTGTAAATGACGTAATTATAAATATATACATTTGCTGTGTTTTTCTAGTAAGCCAACTGTGAAATTGATTTGAATACCATTTTTGTGTATACTCACACGGAGAAATATACACGGAGAAATGTGCGTTAATGTGACGTCACAATGAGGCTACAGCTACGTTAGTAAAAGTATAACGAAATAGGGCAGCAAGAAACTCAAATATTGAGTACATTTTTTATGCTTTTAGACATTGAAAATGTAAATATAAGGAATGTTTTTAAGTTTAGAGTGAATGATTGGTGTGTGAATCACACAGACTTGCACGTAGGCATATTTTTCATGAAGCTCTAGCGCGCTTCATGAAATATGCCTACATGACAAGTCTGTGTGATTCACACAACAATAACTCACACAAAACTTAAAAAACATTCCTAAAATACCTGTAGCCTCCCGTCTAGTGTGCGCTCTATGGTCACACACTTGGTGGAGTGGTGGGGGGGGGGGGGGATAGTGTTAATGACGTAATTATAAATACCTGTAGCCTCCCATCCAGTGTACGCTGTATGGTCACACACTTGGTGGAGTGGGCCCCACTGGTGGTTATGGCTGTAATGAGGCTGTCCAATTCGTCCCTCTTCTCCTTTAATTTTTTTACCAGACTTTCGATGGCACGCTTGGCGAAGCTCTCACTCTCCCCACCCTGGCGATGACACATAAGACTGTGCACGATACTCAGACACGCGTCGTTAGACGTCGGCGCCTGCGTCATGATTGACTGGTTCTATTTCCTAGTCTTGGAATTCTAGGCTCACTGGCTGTTTCTTTCTGTATGTCTGCCTCTTACTTCTAATGTTTTACATTTTTGATGGTGAGAGAGTCACTGGATACCTGCAATTTAGAATATTATTTTAAAATATCTCACAAAATGAAACCATATACTCTGATTCTGGTTCTTGATCACTGAGCCCACAGATCCGACAAGCAAAACATTTCTATTGATGTAGCCTTAAAACATAAA